TAAAAATACTAACAACTCCCTTCTCCTTCTCTGCATTGCGATTATGTTTTTGGCACTCACAATTTTCGTTTACATTTGTGAAGCATTTGTGTAGGGATGCCATTGACCCTGTGAAGGGCTACACAGTTTCATCTTCATTCCTGTAAAATGGGATGCAAATCTGGGATGCCATCCTTCAGGTTCACACTGCCATATGAGTCACGTGACCCACACAAGGTTGCAGCCCCCCAGAAAAACGCTTTTTCAGGCACAGCACACCAAAATGTGCATCCCAACCTCCTCTCTCGTGTGTACAGTGACAAATAAAAGCCACTTGAAACTCCACAGGGGAAAATGTGTAGCAATACTACTACTACTAATTTATTATTTATACCCCGCCCATCTGGCTAGGTTTCCTCAGCCACTCTGGGCAGCTCCCAACAGAATATTAATAATAATAACAACAACAAAAGTGATAAAACATCAAACATTAAAAAACTTCCCTAAACAAGGCTGCCTTCAGATGTCTTCTAAAAGTCAGATAGTTGTTTATTTCTTTGACATCTTACAGGCGGGCGCCACCACCGAGAAGGCCCTCTGCCTGGTTCCCTGTAACCTCACTTCTCGCAGTGAGGGAACCGCCAGAAGCCCTCGGTGCTGGACCTCAGTGTCCAGGCTGAACATTATCATCAAGTTGATAATGTGCACATAGTCATAGTTTCCGTGCCCTCATATCCTCCTGGATCATCACATTAACAGCATCCTGTTTGATGTATTGAGTTGTTACTCTCACATTCTCATTGGAAAAAATAGAATACTCTTTAGTTGCTCAGTACCTGTAGGTACCAGTTGTATGAAGTCGTTTCTAAGAACACGCTGATAGTCCTGCTCTCTGGATGTCATAGGCAGATAGGGATCTCTCCACTGCAATGAGAACTCTAGCACTTCTTTATTCTAGCACCTCTTTCATCTTCCCTGCTCCATTTCTCTTAAAAGGGTGGTGAAAATGACATTACTATTATAAACTGTCATCTGCAATATTATGGAGAAAACAATGAGGTGTTTTGTAGATTATAGTTTTGCGTGTACTAATAGAAACCAGATCTATAAATCAATGTCATGAGAGGTGGGAAGCTGAAAGCTGTGAGTGAATCATGTAAAACTATTTCCTATTTGCTAAGAAGGCTGGACATGCCCTTATATTGAAGCCAACATTCTTCTGACTTCACTGAGCCCGTTATTATTTCCTCATTCCTTCTAGAAATGTTACTCATAGTCGAATGCTTGTTAAAATAAATAAGTCACTGTTGTTTCAAAGGCTTCTTTTTGGAATCCACTTCACTTCCTGCTATATAGTCTAAATTTGTCAATCAACTTTTGACCTTTACATGGGAAACTCTCATGAGTTTCACCTGCCTATCCACCTGCAGTGCCAGAATAACGTGATGGCTTGTGATGCCCTGATCTCTAGTAGGCACCTACTGCTGGTATGGGACATGTTGGCATAATACAGCGAGTGTGCAGTCACTGCAACAACTCATATTTTCCATGATTGTGCTTTTTCTGGTTTATGGCAAGGACAATACTTTAGTTGGGTATGGGGTGTGCTGATGTTGCTGCAGCTTGCCTGGATGCATATGAGGAAGGGCAAGGAGGCAGCAAAGTTGGAGCTGTGCAGGCGCAGATATGGGAATGTTGGATTGGCTTTGCTGCTGCAACTTTACCAGGGGTGTAAGAGGGCACTGGTTTCCATTCTGACCTGTATTTATCACACACAGCACTGTTTCCATTCCAGTTTGGCTTCCAACAGAAACAACAACAATGTAATTCACCTCACTGCCTTTTGTGGCAGACTTTTCTGTATTTAACTATGTAATCAATTACTGCATTATAATAATAATATAAGAATAATTTATTATTTATACCCTGCCCATATGGCTGAGTTTCCCCAGCCACTCTGGGTGGCTCCCAATCGAATGTTAAAAACAATACAGCATTAAATATGAAAACTTCCCTAAACAGGGCTGCCTTCAGATGTCTTTTAAAAATAGGATAGCTGCTTATTTCCTTGACATCTCACGGGAGGGCATTCCACAGGGCGGGCACCACTACTGAGAAGGCCTTCTGTCTGGTTCCCTGTAACCTCACTTCTCGCAATAAGGGAACCGCCAGAAGGCCCTTGGTGCTGGACCTCAGTGTCCAGGCTGAACGATGGGGGTGGAGATACTCCTTCAGGTATACAGGACTGAGGCCATTTAGGGCTTTAAAGGTCAGCACCAACACTTTGAATTGTGCTCGGAAACATACTGGGAGCCAATGCAGATCTCTCAGGACTGGTGTTATGTGGTCCCGACGGCCACTCCCAGTCACCAGTCTAGCTGCCACATTCTGGATTAATTGCAGTCTCCGGGTCACCTTCAAAAGTAGCTCCACGTAGAGCACATTGCAATAGTCCAAGCGCGAGATAACTAGAGCATGCACCTCTCTGGCGAGACAGTCTGCGGGCAGGTAGGGTCTCAGCCTGCTCACCAGATGGAGCTGGTAGACAGCCACCCTGGGCACATTGCACACCATTCATTTCAACGCCATGGAAACACAAGGCAAATGGGGGAAAGGGTGTTAATTGCACATTGTTTGCAGACTGAAAGCAGCAACAGTGTATATTAGTTGTATTCACTGGACTGATTTCCGTTCTAGACGTGGGACAAATTGGCAAACATCGACAACTGGCACTCTAGTTTCTGTTCGAATTTCCAGCCATTCCTAACCTGCACAGTCCCAACCTCGCTGCTGCACTGCCCCAGCCCTGTCTAGACAGAATGAACTTATGAAAGAACCCATGTGAAACTGGCATGGATCAGAAAAAGGCTAATCTGTCAATTCCTAGGGGATGGGTGGCTGAAGACATTAAAAATGCTTAATGGCTTGGTTTGTTTGATAATAGGAACCATCAGCCATGCCGGCATGGAGGGGGCAGTTGCAGGATGACAGGGGTGTGATGTCATCACAGGAAAAATGTTGGGGTGTAATGTTCGGCACTCCCTCCTGCAAAACTCAGGTTGTAAACGTGTAGAATAAATCAAATTTCTTAAAGACACTAGTCTGCACTGGGCCACATTTTAAAAGAACACAAACCCTGGTTAAGTTCCAATTTTGCTATCACTCAGCAGAGATTGAGGTGACCCCAATACCATTTGGGGGTATGGCCTTTCTCCCTTGGACGCGGGTGGCGCTGTGGGTAAAACCTCAGTGCCTAGGACTTGCTGATCATAAGGTCGGCGGTTCGAATCCCCGCGGTGGGGTGAGCTCCCGTTGTTCGGTCCCTGCTCCTGCCCACCTAGCAGTTCGAAAGCACCCCCGGGTGCAAGTAGATAAATAGGTACCGCTTCAGAGCGGGAAGGTAAACGGCATTTCCGTGTGCGCCACTGGTGCTGGCTCACCAGTTGCAGCTTCGTCACGCTAGCACGTGACCCGGAAGTGTCTTCGGATGGCGCCGGCTCCCGGCCTCTTGAGCGAGATGAGCGCACAACCCTAGAGTCGGTCACGACTGGCCCTGATGGGCAGGGGTACCTTTACCCTTACCTTTCTCCCTTACTTAGGCCATACAATAATAGTCATCTGTCCCATCATCAAAGAAAGAGGCAGATAAGCTACAATCCTGGTCTACCACCATGTCCTGCTTGTTTCTCTTACCTCTTTGGTTCTCTCCATCACAAAACAGACAATGTGAGGACTGGATGTACCAGCAATTCAAAAGTTGTTTGGGGACTGACAAATCTATTTTTCTTTGTATCACTCTCTGTGCTCTGAAATAGGTGAAAGATGGAGGAACTTCTAAACCTTCTCAAGTGTGTGTGTGTGTGTGTGTGTGTGAGAGAGAGAGAGAGAGAGAAACTTGAGTAATGGTGTGTATATATATAAGGCCATGAAGTGAATATGTAAAATTTAATGTCTCCCAGCCACTTACATTTTCTCTCTTTTAACATTTTGTATAGTTAACCACACCTTGCTTCTTCTCACCTTTACTATTCATACCTTAAATTGTGTACCATTTATCAAGAGTGATAGGTTACTTATTCCTTACATATTATTGAATTACATATTATTGACTAAAGAAATAAAAAGAAATATTATATAAGAGTGATAGGTATATAATTTGGAGTAAAGCTTTGTTCTTAGGTCAATAGCAATATTTTGTACTGTCTAGAAATGTAGTCAAATGTTTGTTTTAATCTGTTTTGTGATTTGTTTGATTGTGCTACTTTGTAAATCTTTTAAATCAAATACCACATACCCAGATGAAAATCAGCAGTGAGGCAGTAGCCTTTACCTGCTGCTGCTGCTGCTGCTGCTGCTGCTAAATAATAATAACTCAAGGCACCTTACAGATAAAAACAAGAATCACTAAAAACATAGAAAAAGAAATAATTAAAAGCACGGAAACATTAATAGAATTAAAACAGTATCCATTTACCTGATCTCCCATCACTGATGTCACTGAAGCTTAACTTGCCTATGGGGCAAATGCACCACTGGGACTGTGGCATTGGCTCTGCCACTGTGTTTTCACCACGCTGGCCTTGCCCCTGTCCCTCTAAGTAAGAGGTGATGGGAGTCAGGCAAAGTGCCATCACCCCGCTGACCACTACTGATGAAAATTAATGCATTACCCAGCATTCCTCAATTACATTTATGGTTAATAGCAGCTTCATAACTTTAGTATCCTTGATTTCTAAAACCCCTCTCTAAATTTATTAATGGTGTTTGTTACTGATGAGCTTTGTTAACAGATTCTAAATAGGTCATTTTAAGTATTGTTTTTATTGCAATGCTTGTTTTCTATTATAAGACACTCTGGGCTCCTCTCCTGAAGAAGGGCAGGATAGAAAACAAATGCATAAAGAGTAACCTTTGCATCCGTTCAATAACGACATTCGTTTTGTTTCCAGCTGCTCTTCAAGTGCCCAACACAAACATAACTTTGGCCTTTAACTAGTTCTATGGCTTTCTTTCTGTTTTAGGTGGTTTTTTGGTGGTATTAAACGAGTGGATGCTGAGAAACGGCTGCTATATCCTGAAAATCAGGACGGAGCTTTCCTGATCAGAAACAGCGAAAGTCTAACGGGTGATTTCTCTCTTTCAGGTATGATGACTATTTTCTCTTTCTTCTTTCTCCTGGTGTGTGTGTGTGTGTGTGTGTGTGTACACACACACACACACACACACACACACACACACAGTCTTGACCTTATTTCTCCTGGGTTTGTTCATGAAAAATCTCTGTGATTATTTCTTTCACAAAGGTACATGAACTGGCAATAACTGCTAGAACTTAATAACTTTTAAAAAATATTTTAAATTGGGGGAGGGGGAGGTTTGCTTATAATTGAATATGTGAACTAACAATGCAAGCTTATACTTACCTGCTCTTAAGTAAGCGCCACTGCATAGGGCTCACTCAAAACATTTTGTTACCTGCAGTTGAGGATAAGATGGCAGCTTCAGCTTTCCATCAGGAATTTTTTAATGTCTAATGTCTTACTTTTTTTATGTGCTGTGAGCCGCCCGGAGTGGCTGGGGAAACCCATCCAGATGGGTGTGGTATTATTATTATTATTATTATTATTATTATTATTATTATTATCTTTCATGTACTGAAGTCGACTAGACTAGCATTTGAAACTTATTTCAATCCATCATACATCATTCAATCCATCAGTTTGATACTCTGAAGTTGGGGGAAAGAGCATTTTCTGATCCATAATTAACAAACGGTGAATAATACATTTTTTTGGTAGTCTTTACATCTCCCTTTAATATCACACTTGCCATAAAGTAGCAACAGTGGTTCCTCAGTTTGCCGACTGTGGTGGTGTCTGAAAGTAGATATAATTCTGTAGCAGAATCAGGACCAGCCCTACCAATAGGCAGAATGAGATGACCGCCTCAGGCAGCAGATGCTGGGGAATCGCAGCAGCAGCTACCTGATTATGTCCTAGGGCAGAGCTGTGTGTGTCAGGTGGCCCGTCCTGAACCTCTACAGTTAGTTTGTGGCCTCAGATGTGGTAGAAGACACTCTCCTGTTGCCAGAATTGAAATAAGTTTCAAAAATAAGTTTCCAGTACGTTTCCGTGAACAATTCAAAGTGTTGGTGCTGACCTTTAAAGCCCTAAACGGCCTCAGTCCTGTATACCTGAAGGAGTGTCTCCACCCCCATCGTTCAGCCTGGACACTGAGGTCCAGCGCTGAGGGCCTTCTGGCGGTTCCCTCATTGCGAGAAGTGAGGTTACAGGGAACCAGACAGAGGGCCTTCTCAGTAGTGGCACCCGCCCTGTGGAACGCCCTCCCTTCAGATGTGAAGGAAATAAGCAGCTATCTTATCTTTAAAAGACATCTGAAGGCAGCCCTGTTTAGGGAAGTTTTTAATATTTAATGCTGTATTATTTTTAACACTTGATTGTAGCCACCCAGAGTGGCTGGGGAAACTCAGCCAGCTGGGCGGGGTATAAAGAATAAATTATTATTATTATTATTATTATTATTATTATTATTATTATTATTATTACATGCTAGTCTAGTTGACTTCAGTAGATGGAAAGGTGGAGCTGCCATCTTATCCTCAACTGCAGGTAACAGTTGAGGGTGAGCCCTACGCAGAATGACTCCCATCAGTTCTTCCACTTCTCCTCATGCACCCTCTAGCCCCACCATGCATATGGAAAAAGACCCCTAATATATGTAACCTTCAAGTTTGATCTTCATTCAGATTCTCTGTATAATAGTACCATAAAAGCATATGAATTAGAGTGCACGACTAAAGACTTGGGGGATAATCTAAAATAATATACTCCGTATGACACCTATACACCCTCTAATGGTAATTTGAGATAACTGCATGCTTGATAAAGCTTGACTGCTTAAGGAAGATAGGGCTAAATATTCATTTAATATACAATTGCTGGTGATTAAAAACTCAGTTTACATGAAGACCCCTAAAGATGCCTGCCAACTGTATGCAAATAGTATGGGCTGCCAGTTGGGCACATGTAATGTGGAATGAGAGCTCCAATCACATAGACTCCATCTATGTGTACACCCTGTAGCTATAAGATACATTTGAAGCCCATTTTGTCTCTCAGTGAGTTCTGGGCAATGTAGTTTATGCCTCACAGAGTGAAAATTCTTAGCAATCCTTCACAAACCACAGTGCCCAGAATTCTTTGAATGTGCTTCAAAGATATAGTGTGTACACACCTGCCACTCTGCTACTGACAGTCATCGAGGTCCAAGGTTACGATGAAGTTGGAACTAAGCATGGCATATGATGCCATACATTACGCACATTGCCTAAATAGTGCATGGCCCTTAACAGCTATGACCTCCTGGCATTTGGGAGCTTTTTTTTTTTTAAAAAAAATTGATTTAATATTTCAATCTATGAGTCCTCTTTGTGTTATAAATAGGGCTACTGTACCCCAGAGGTGTCTAAAAATAACTCCTGTTGGAAGTATAATGTGCAGTAATGGTCAGCTTGCCATTCTATAATGACAGAATCATGACATTTTCCTTATCAGACAAGAATATACACACGTGTGTCTCTGAGATTAGTATGCAAATAAAATATTTTGTACCATTTTATTAAGGCACCATATGGTACCATATGCAAGTAATACATGATGGTAAATAAATAGGGATATAAAGGTCTTACAGAGCAAGCAAAATTATAAGAAGTCAATGTAATTTTATTTGGGGTAAGTTATCCTTATTTCAAGCTTCATTCAAGAGCATGGCTATTTCCAGCTGAGGTACCCCATGCCTGGCAGAGGGAAAACAAACCTTTAAAACAGAGTTTAGCTTTGGCAGGGGGTTCCCAGTTGCATCCACTAGAATATATGTGTATTATTATTATTAATTATTATTATTATTATTATTCCCCTGTCATTATATATCAACATTAGGGCAAAAACTTATAATGGGTCATCTGGAGTCTCATTTAGGGCGCAGTTCCCCTGGTAATATTACATAATACTTCTATTATAATTATATAAGTTATATCACTGTACATAGGTTATGATTCTCATTTAGGAGGCAGTTTTTATGCAAGCTGGTATAACAAGACTATCTTATATATTATGATGTATAGTTATATATTTATAGATAAGTCTTAGGCAATATTCACAATGCCTTCCTTAGGGGAAGGGTCGTAGCTCAGTGGAAGGGGATCTGCTTTGCTTGCAGAAGACTTCAGGTTCCATCTCTGGCACCTGTGGGTGGAGTTGGGAAATGTTCCCTGCCTGGATGCTGGAGAGCATCTGCCAGTCAGAGTGGACAACACTGAACTAAATGGCTCAACATTCTGATTTGGAATAAGACAGTTTTTCCTCTGTTCCTTCGTTTTTATTTTTCTAGTACGGGATGGGAAGGTTGTGAAGCACTACCGAATCCGACGTCTGGACAATGGCGGCTTTTTTGTGACGAAAAGGAAAACTTTCCCAACCTTGAATGCTTTTGTCAGATACTACAGTCGTTCCAGCGACGGGCTGTGCGTAAAGCTTGGGAGGCCATGTGTAAAGGTAGAGCTAACTCAGGACATTTTCCTTTCAAAATGGAGTGAACTTTTGATGATTGAATTGATAAGTACTTAACCCTCCTTCCAGCCATGATAATAGTTTAAGAAATGATGCATAACTGCACCATGATATGGGATAGCATATCAATGATAATGAAAACAAGAGAGCCATGCAATGTTTGAGATATAATTGTATGGCCTGGGGGAGAACATGCCAGCATGTTACTTATGAAGTCACAGTATAAACCCATATTGAGATGGAATCGCCACCCTCACAACTCTAGCTGTCTATAAGTACTGACTGAAAAACAAGAACTCAGAACCCCATCAGATTCCTACAGGCAATATTTTGTTATTCTAAAAGCTTGCCTGGTTCTCTCTATCTCTTTCTAATCTAGGGATATAATCATCTTTCAGATTCTAAAAGAAGTATCAACATTGTCCTCCTCTGAACCCATTCCAATCTGTCTACAAAGTTGAAGAGACCACAACCAAAAGAGAAATCCCCCTGAGACAAAAAAGCCCCCCACAACTCTGATTCACATCAGAGACCCTCCTATGTGCCCATCTATGAGAGCCATCCATTTGGTGGGTATGGGGAAAGGGCTTCCTTGGCAGTGGCCCCACAACTGTGAATTGGCTTCCAAGCGAGATCAGGGAAGCCTCTCTCCACTCACCAGATTTTCAAGCAGCATCTGAAGGACATCTGTTCTCTGCCACTGTTATGGAGCAGTTTTAAGTGGGCTGCTAATGTGGCAATGTTGTTTTATGCTGTTTATACTGTGTCTAACAGCTGTGCTGGGCAGACTGTAGCTTTTATGTGTTGGCAAATGTTAAGGTTTGGGGCTGTTTTATAACCGAAAGTTTAAAATTGCACTTTGCATTGTTGCTCTATGCTCTGCTTGCTGCTTTGTGAGGAGATCCTTCTAAAAAGCGGAATTAAAATCTATTTTTAAAAAGTAAAGAAATAAGTCAAACTAAGATGGAACATACAACAGTGTTGCCTATGATTGCACAGCTTTTGCTTATCCTTGAATAAAGGTCCTATCTCCTGAAAGCAGTACAGATTGCATGTAAGCGAAAGAAACATTTTCCAATAATGTTAATTTTCAAACAGTGTTAATTAATAATAAAGGTATTGTAACTGTAACTTGGGCAAGTACCCCTTGATTTCTATGGAATGTATTGATTCTGCTACACAAGTTGACCTTTTTTATTTTTGATGGGACAGCTATGCATTTGGATCCATACATTATATCGGGGGAATGGGAGACACAGCAGAATGGACCCTACCCTTTCCTGTCAACATATAATGTAAAAAGCTCCCAGAGTGTGCAGGTCTGTGCCACTCCCTACAATAACATAAGTCCTCAGAAAATGGGCCAGTACTGGTGTATCGCCAGTGTGGTCGCACAGGAGAAGGGATGGTGCCGTGGCTTCTGTGGTAATGTGAAGAATCCAACGGTAAACAGTGACAGTCCATCCGTCACTGCCTCTTTCTGCCGGTTCACACTGCAGGGGACCATTGTGGAACCAGGAAAAGGTACCAGCTCTTGATATCTTTGAAAGTGTCGAAATGATGCTTCCCTGTTTTTTAAAAAATAAAAACAACATAGAAAATGGAAGTAGCTCTGGCCTTTAGGGCCTGCTGTCCAAAGCAATAGTTTCCCTCTGCTTCATAATTAAGACCGGACCTTCCTGTTTTCATGGGAGGAAGTGCCATATAAAGAAGCACCTGGCTGCTTGTGGGAAGTTCTGCTTGGTTTACTGCCCCCCGCATTCTGTTTAGCACACACCCTCTTAAATCGGTATACCTGCATAGATACAGTTGTTTTGGGTTTCTTTTTTTTAAAAGAAAAGCACATAATTTATGTGTGCCATTTTTAATCCTATGCAGACAGAAGTTCCGGCAACCTATGATTTGTCATACCAAACTGTGGATCAGTGGGAGATAGACCGAAATTCCTTACAGCTCTTAAAAAGACTAGGTTCTGGCCAGTTTGGCGAGGTCTGGGAAGGATTATGGAACAATACCACACCGGTGGCAATTAAGACGCTAAAACCAGGTATGTCAAAGAACACCTCTGACTATTTCACCCTCAAAATCTGCATAAAATCTAAATATAGTCTTGATTTCAGCAAGATTTACTTCAATGTATGGGTGGTTGAGATCACTGACAAACAAATAGAAAATCCTATTTGTAGCCTTCATTGTGTATACTGCATTTCCTGCTCATTCAAACATTGAATTCGATTATTCTCCTAGCAATTTTTATTTCTTTTTGGTGCAAAAGATCTTACACAATCAAGAACGAAGGACAAATAGATTCACTGTGGGAGTAGATGATGGAAATAAAACTGGTTCATCTTCTGCTCATGGCAGATATTATTTTAAAGCATATAATGGTTCTTTTTCTTTATGTTCTTGAAAATGCACCCAGAATCGCAGCTATTTACTGTTAAGATTAATTTCCATCAGTCTATTTCCTCCATTCTTTTAAAAGCTCTTATGTACAAGGATATCAGTCTGAAGTGCCTTCTTAGATATGTGCATGAGCTTTTTCAGTTCTCTATCCAAGCAACAATTTTTCCTTCTTGCCTTGTGTTGTGAGTGCCTTTTTAAACTTAGGGGAGTGAAAGCTCGTGATGCAATATGATGTTTGGAAAAATACCCACTGCAATCCTTTTTTGGATCAAGGTTAGGGGATTCCTCTGAACCTGGTGGGGCGAGGGCTCATTTGGGCTCTTTTCACCTATTTGATAATCATACATTTGGGGAATCTAGTTGCTTCATTGGTTGCAATTTTCAGTTTTGCCAGTTATTTAGCCATGCACTGAATAGCATAAAGCAAGCCACTTTCCCAGTTACGAAGTAACAATATACCACACATAAGGATAAATGAGAGAAGCTTGCAAACACCATGTGGCATTTACTAGGACTAATACTGGTATAAGGCAGCTGTGATCATTTGCACTTACATAGCATGAGTGTCAACAGATAATGATTTTAGGAATACAGTATAATAGTGTTGTGCAATTGTATCTGCATTCCCTATTTGACAGACAACATCTTCTGCTTATGTATTTACTTATTCTCAAAAACCTAATAAAAACATTCCAAAAAAGGTGGAAATGGAGAAACAAATGCTAATGTAGCCATTTCTAGTGGCTTCCCTACACACGCCACCCACCAATCATGACATTGTGCACTGATGTTGTTCCCCATGCAAAGAAGGAACCAATCAACACATAGCTGCAACATCATGATTATATTGGCCTAGAGCAGGGGTGGGAAATATCAGGCCTGTGGACTTCTCAGTGTGGCCCCCACAACTCTCCCCAAACCACTCTCTCCAAGCCAAACCCTTCACTGGTACAGCTTTTGCACCCTCCAGAATTGCTTATGCTGGAATGTGTCGTTGAACTCTGATAGCACTTCTTGTTTGCCTGGATGGTAAGTAGAGAGGGGTATCTGGCTGTATGGAGTCCATTATAGTTTCCAATTCCTCTCAATCATAAGTTCTCTTAGATCTATTTGCAGTGCTAAAATGTGATTAGTGACATGACATTTTGGGCAGAGCGATGGTGCAACTGAAGCTAGTGGCCACAGGATTTCACTTTAGTTTTTATTAAAGAGAAAAGCAAATAGCCACTGTCCTTTGAAAAAAACACCACCTGAATACTGACAAGATTTACTTAAATTCTCCTGCCAATATACGGTACATGGGGAATTTGAAAGTAATATCAGATGTATTTGTTCAAACCTTGTATATCATGTGTTGTCTTTTAAAAATTGATTGTATTAACAGGTCTGAGAAAAACATCTATTTGTTTTAATTCATGTCTTTAAAGCACTTAGAGCACTTTATTTACAACTTATCATAAACATTTTTTAAAATTTATTTTCATGTTGGCAGATGATTGGAAAGTCACCCGCTAAAGACTTGTTGAAATATATGCCCTTTATTGTACACAGTGTTGGTCTATTATAGAAGTGTAATAATAAAATATTTATTGTGAAGTAGGAGAGGAAACAATTTATCCATTTAATAAAAGATAGCATAGGGAAATTATTTCTAGGAACACTGATGATTGCAAAGTTGCACAATTAAAGAGTTTCATAAGATAAAACTGCATTTACTCCAAACCATCCTCCCTACCCAAGATTGGTTAAAAATTGATCTTTGATCCTGCAAATGCTGGATTAAAAGTCTAAATGATTAGTCTGCAGCCTCTACATTTTAGAAAGGGCTTCAATTAACCTCACAGAGAGAGGCACAAGATTCCTAATTAAACTGGCAGCAATCTTCATAAAAGCAATGCAGTCCCATGAAGCATTAAGGTATTTTATTAATACATCCATGTTGGGTTTGTATTCCCCCCCCCAAAAAAAATGCTGCCAGATGCATTTGTAAGACAGGTTCACCCATCATGTTGTAACAGCTATTTATATGTACGTTGGCACCAGCTCTGCTGCTGGATGCAATTGCTGTTGAATGTTTTCCAGAAGCCCTTTAATTTTCCAGAAGCTCTTGTAAGAAAGGGGTGGGTGGGTTTCAGACAAAATAATGCCTTGCGAGAGTAGGTTGCATTCTATACTGACTGTCCAATGGATATTTAGCTAGAGACATGACCAGAGCAACACTCCCCTTCTTGTGTTACCCATTAACTGGTATTTAGACTGCCTCTGACACTGGAGCCAATGGTGCCATCACAACTAGTTGCCATGAATATCTGTATCTGTTTAATCCCCCTTTAAAGCTGTCCAAGTGATTGGTGCTCACTGCATTGTGTAGGAATTTTCCCAGTTTAATTAACTGTGCTGCGTGAAGAACTTATTCCTTTTGTCTGTGCTGAATCTCTATTCACTTTTATTGGTTGATCCCAAGTTTTAGTATGATGCAGAAGGGAGGAAACAATTTCCCCCTACCAATCTTCTCCACACTTTCCCATCGTTTTATATACCTCCATCATGTCCCCTCCCTTAATCACCTTTTCCTACTGAGCTGTTAAGCCCCAAATGTTATAACATTTCCCAATAACGGCGTTTTTCTAGCCCCCTGATCATTTTGGTTGCCCTTTTCTGCTTTACAATAGTCTTTTTGAGGGGTGGGGACAAGAAGTGTACAGTTTTCTGAGTGTGGTTGCACCATAAATTTGCATGAAGGCAAATTGGCACTTTTATTTTCTATTGACTGCCAGCATTGAGTTTAGTATAGTATTGCATTTTCCCTTCTGTAGCTGCACTACTTTTATAAGTCCTTTCCAAGTCTTAACTCCGCCTGGCAAGTTTACTGCATGATAGGTGCATCAGAACCTTATGTTTTGCCCCTTTGCTGATAAGGTCAATAATTCTAAGTAATAAAGATGTTCTATTCCAAGGTATAATGAGCTTCAACAATGCAGCTTGGAAGAGGCGAATCATTATTGCTTGGGTTTGTACCTAGAGGGATTGATCTGATGCAGGCAACTTAAGATGTTGGAAATTATTGCACTGTTTCTAATCATGGTTACATTTCTAGTATCCGGGAGCAGCAGTTAAACCAATAAAACATTGTGACTACCATTTCAGTCATAAAATGACCAATAGCCTTTATGATGGGCAAAATAACCCGCTATCTACAGTTATTAGAGTTATTATTTTTGTATTAAAGCCAGGGAAAATTACAAAACCTGTGTTCTCCTTTGTCATTTCACTTGCATGAATTCCTTACTTGAATTTGCACTGATGTACATCGTACTTTGCAAAGCGAAAGGCAGCAGCGCTCGTCATTTACACAAGACTGCAGGGCAGACAAGGATGGCCCTTAATAACAGGGGCTAATTTTCTTTTGTTGCTGTTCTCATTTCAGGTTCAATGGATCCAAAAGACTTCCTCAGGGAAGCACAGATGATGAAGAATCTGAGACACCCAAAGCTCATACAGCTCTATGCTGTTTGCACTTTAGAGGATCCAATTTATATTATTACAGAACTGATGAGACATGGAAGTCTGCTAGAATACCTCCAGAGTGAGTAGGAAACATTTCATTTAGCAATACTGTGTACTGCTTGTAGTATAGCAAATGCGCTAATAAAAAAGAGAAGGAAAAGAGATGAGCAGCTCAATAAACTCTGACTGGCTGTAGAGATTGGTGGGGAATCCACAAATTGGCCAGGTGGTCTTTTTCTATGTTTAGATAGACTATTTACATTTTTAAATTTATTTTTTTTCCTTCACAGTTCTTACATTTGAAACAATAAAAGAACTTTTATTCCAAAACATTTGGAATAAATCAAATTGTCCCTTTCTCTTACCCAGCCATCCCTTTTGGGAGGGAATATTTTTTCATATGTGTTGGGCATGTGAAAAGATTACAGCCTTGGTCCAGTATACCTGAAGGAGCGTCTCCACCCCCATTGTTCAGCCCGGACACTGAGGTCCAGCGCCAAGGGCCTTCTGGCAGTTCCCTCACTGCAAAAAGTGAGATTACAGGGAACCGGGCAGAGGGCCTTCTCGGGCAGTGGCCCCCACCCTTTGGAACACCCTCCTACCAGATGTCAAAGGAAAAAACAACTACCAGACTTTTAGAAGACATCTGAAGGCAGCCCTGTTTAGGAAGCTTTTAATATCTGAAGGACTATTGTATTTTAATATTTTGTTGGAAGCCGCCCAGAGTGGCTGGGGAAACCCAGCCAGATGGGTGGGGTATAAATAATAATAATAATAATAATAATAATAATAATAATAATAATAATTATTAAGGATATTGGAAAATGATTTATAATGAGATGAAAAAAATGTTTAAAATAACCTTCCCAAAAAGACCAGAAGCATTTTTGTTAGGAATGGTGCAGTCAGAAGTTCCCAAGTGTTAGAGAACCCTATTTATGTATGCAACAATGGTGGTTTGCATTCTGTTAGCCCAAAAATGGAAAGTGAGAGAGGTCCCAAGTAAGGTTGGCAACTTAAGCCAATAGAATATGCAGAACTAGCAGGTTTAACTAAGACTAAGAGAGCAAGAAAAGTATCTATTTAAAGAGGAATGGATTTTTTTTGGCTGAATGTATGGAAAATGACTACACATTCGGAAATGCTGGTAGCATTTAGATAGATTCAACAGTTTAATAACTAATTGAATGATGTAAAATTGGAAAACTGAAAAAAAATGGACATTGTAAAATATGCAGGCATAATAGGTAAACAAAATGAACCAGGGAAGGGGAAGAAGAGAAGTCATGGAATATATGGTACTATGTAAATGTTTATTTTGAGATGTTAAACGAAACCTTAATAAAAAATATTTTTAAAAACCAAATAGTGTTAAAAGAGAAGAGTGAAAGAGAGAACAGAAAAGCAAAATCATTATATATATATGGACGTGGGTGGCGCTGTGGGTTAAACCACAGAGCCTAGGACTTGCCGATCAGAAGGTCTGTGGTTCAAATCCCCACGACGGGGTGTGCTCCTGTTGCTCGGTCCCTGCTCCTGCCAACCTAGCAGTTCGAAAGCACGATGTGTAAGTAGATAAATAGGTACCGCTCCGGCGGGAAGGTAAACGCCATTTCCGTGTGCTGCTCTGGTTCGCCAGAAGCGGCTTAGTCATGCTGCCCACATGACCCGGAAGCTGTACGCCGGCTCCCTAGGCCAGTAAAGTGAGATGAGCGCCGCAACTCTCAAGTCGGCCATGACTGGACCTAATGGTCAGGGGTCCCTTTACACACACACACACACACACACACACACACGGGGTCTGTTGTCAAAATTCTACATTAGCTGCTTCCAGGTAAACAGATGTTCCACATTCCTTCTCAATCACCAAAGAACCCTGTCAAAAACCTCCAAGCTTCTCCAGATGTTCTGCTTTCATTTGGGTCACTCTTTCATTGGCTGCAAGGGTCAGAGACAAGTGATCTGTAGCTGGTCTTGTTCCATCTTCACAAGATCCATCCCTTGGCCATCTGCACTGCCCTTTGAACCCAAGCTGCTTGAGTCTTACTTAATCCCTGCATCTGAGGAGTGTAGCTTACAAATACAGGGGTGGATTTTGAATATTGCATTAGGTTCAGGAGCCTGCAGATGTGAGCCCAAACTACCCTGCTGAATGGTGCTGGAGCTCTACATCCCCAAAGCTTACCTTTGCAAGCAAGAACTGCTCTTATTTCTTTTGCAAGCAGCATAACTTCACTGAGATTGCTGGAACGTGTTGTGAGGATGATATTGCACCTTGTTTGCTTTTTATTTCCGGTACATTGCTATACCATCACAGATGGTCTGTAAAATGCATGCAGGTTTAAGTATGATTAATTGACTACTTTTCCTTAACATGTAGCAGATTTAAAATAGATTAACAGGAAATGATCTGTGGGGTAGTTTTCAAAGGCAAGTCTAATGACCGATTTGGACTTTTCATTTTATTTCTTATCCACATTTCTGTATTTCTGTTTATATATATTCTATCCCCACAACACCCCTAAGGTAGTTTAGATGAAGAAATTCTAAGAATTAAGCAGGGATTTGAACCCAGATCTTCCTGGTCTTGAGTCCAGTTCTCACATCACTGCTTGCACGATACTTCTGCTTATCACTTGAACGTACATTTGTGGAAAAAGTTGTTTTCATCCCATGGAAAGAGTCATCACATGGAAAGAGGTGATGAGAGTGAAGCCTTTTCTTCATGCTGTGTTTAAAAGGTTTTGGATGGTGCACCCTTGTGAGTCATATTGTTTGAACTGTTTGTCAAACAGTGCTGTGAAAGTATTTGTATTACGGTGTGTTCTTTCCTTGTCACCGAGATAGCATAACTAGCCCCTACACACCTGTGATTAGGCATGAAGGCTTCAAAATCAAAGCATGTAACTTTTAAGCATGCTTGGGCCTTGTCAGCTCATATTTTAGATATCAAGGTCTTCTACGCTTGTCTGTCCTGTCAGAGAGGTGTGTTGTCTTCATAAGAACAGAGACGTGTGGTTGCCTTGAAAATTACAGGAGAGTCATTGTACAAACAAAAGATAAAAACCAAAGACAAATAGCCCTTGAATAGATGTGCCCAGGAGCAGTTCTGACACTGTTCTTTCAGAATTTGGATTAGACATAAATAGTAGTCTCTATAAAACATTGCCTTTTAGGACTTAAAGTTCATGTGTAGAGAAAATGCATGGGGTGGCAGCATGGGGTGTGCAAGCTCAATCCCCCCCCCAAAAAAAACCAATTGTTTCCATTGTCCTCCGACACGTGGAGGGTGACGTGTGCAAAGTGGAAAGCCTTCTGAGTTTATGGAGGCCCTGCAACCATTTTAGAAGCCTGCTTCTCTAAAATTCAGGGTAGCCACAAGGACAAAGTAGAGGCCTTGGGGGACCTGTCCTTAACTAGTAATGATGCTCCTAGACATGCTATTAGCATCTGCAGCTTTCTGTGCCTTCTGAACTGAGCTGAGAAGCAGATAAAAAAACTTCACATTTTATGCTCCTTGGGACCTAGTTCTGATTCAGGTACTGTACTATAATGCTTGGCAAGAAATTATACTTCTGCAAATGGCCAGAAGCATAGCTTCATGTACGCGGAGTCCTTTTCTTTGTGAAGTAAGTTCTGGTTATTCCTTCTCCCTTCTGAAATGCAATTAATGGAGGGAGTTGCTTGGAGATGTGGACATAACTAGCCAGAGAGGGAAGCTAGCAAGTGGGAATGGGGCTTGCAGCATTTCAAACCAGACTGAAATTTCCGGGACCAACTTGAACCAGGTGAAGAAGAAGAAGAAGAAGAAGAAGAAGAGGAAGAGGAAGAGGAGGAGGAGTTTGGATTTGATATCCAGCTTTATCACTACCCGAAGGAGTCTCAAAGCGGCTAACATTCTCCTTTCCCTTCCTTCCCCACAACAAACACTCTGTGAGGTGAGTGGGGCTGAGAGACTTCAAAGAAGTGTGACTGGCCCAAGGTCACCCAGCAGCTGCATGTGGAGGAGCGGAGATGCGAACCCGGTTCACCAGATTACGAGTCTACCGCTCTTAACCACTACACCACACTGGTGACACTTTTTGAATCTGTGGGGCAATTGTATTCCATCGCCCCCATTCCAATTTTGTCCCATGTATACTGAAGAAACTCAAGAATTTCCAAAGTATTTTTTCACAAAGACGAACTTTTCATTTATGGAAGTCTCCACATGTGGATCCATGTGATAACGGAAGTAAAATGCAGCCCTGCTAAATTGCCATTCCCGTTGTATGACTTTCAGGGAAATCTAACTTTCATGCTCAGAGACGAGTAATGCCGCAGCAGTGCGTGCGCACCCTGAGAGCCCATTTAGAAGCGCAAACCTTTAAATCACATAAGCAATACTATGAAGCAGACAATTTTCTCATGAGATCTGTAGGCTGGGCAGAAAGTAAATACATGAAACATCACTACTTTGTGGATGTGCAAACAGTTATTGATGGAAAAGCTACAGAGGAAAAGTTGCCTCTGCAGTGTGCAGAATGTATAGCAAATAGTAAGTTGCATTTCAAGGTGAAATAAAATTGCCATAAGAAAGACACAATGATAGATATTTCAGATTCTTGTTACAATAGGACAAATACTCTCAATTAGGTAATGGTTGTCAAGGAGAACCTATGCAGGGTTCTGCTCGCTATGGAGACCTTGCCTTACATAATACGGTTGTCAGGGCTGCCTCAGGTCCCAGCTCACAAAAGACCAACGCCAAGTCCAGTTTATATACAAAGATGTTTATTGCAGTGTATTGTACGCTCCACAGCCGAGGCGCGCAGCCCCACGTCTGTTACGCTTAGACCGCTGAAGTCCCCTCTGAGTCAGTCCCTCCTCTGCACCAGTTTAAGAGGGCTGTGCTGCTCCACCTCTTTCTTTCTTTCCTTTTCCGCAGGGTCTTCCTGCCCCCTGGGGTTTCGCCCCTCCTGGATTCCCCTGAAGCGGAATCCCCAGACAGCTCTTCCCCCCTCCTGCGTGCTTTGGGACCTGGCTCCTCCTCCGGGCTCCCTGTTTTTCCGCGCGCCTCCACATTTGAACTTGGCGCGCGTTCGCAACCTCTAACCTTCCTCTTGACAGTTACACTACTCCCTGCACTACTCCCCTCCCTTTCCGGGAGGATGTCTTGCTCCGATCTTCCCTCCCTCTCTGCTTTCGGACCTGCTTCCCCTGTCACACTGGAATCTCCACCCCCTTCACTGCACTCTGGCGGAGAAGCCGGTCCCGACTCCCGGCTCCCACTTTGGGTTCCCCTGCTGGTCCCCTGCTCCTGACGAGTCCCCCCTGTGACTCCCCTTGGCCTGACCACAGGCGCCCCCTTCTGGGAATCCTCCGATTCACTTGAAAGACTCATGGAATCCCTCAAGTCATTGTCATCCTCTTCCTCGCTGTCCTGGGATTCTTCCCCCTCGCTCTCCGTCTCCTCCCTCACCTGTGCCTCTGTCCCTGAACCCCTGACAATGGTGTTTGTAATGTTTCATCTAGACTTGAAGATAAATCTTAACAGTTGTTGAGCAGCACAGTCCTATCCATGCTTATTCACAAGCAAGTGTTATTTATTTCATTGGGACAAGGCTAGTGGTTTCCATAAGCGATGTTAAGGTTGTCAGTTTCCTCATTTGGTCTTGCAGTGCGCTACTTGTGCCTGCCAGAGAGAAATGATAGAAAATTGGCATTCTAGGGAATGATTTTTTTCTTTGTTTGACAGATGTGGCAAGGGAGACTCTAAATGTGTGGGACTAGTGCCTTGAGTGGCTGCCTTTGGGCACATACCCGGGGAAGGATAGTATCTGGGGGGGATCTGGGTCAGAGTCCTGGAGCCTATGTTTCATTGAGGATGGCATGAGGAACAGCAGGTGGAATATACTTGCTCCTGATGTTATTATATTCCATATGGAATTTTGCATAGCCAATATTATACTGTATATGCTGCACTGTAATTGCAATAGAAAAGTGAGATATACGTATTAAATCTAAAACAAAAGTAGGGTAAATACAATAAAAGCCCAGCATCACATCCATGAGAATTTCACTGTTGTCTTCTCTCTCCTGTGCTAATTTTAGAATGCAAATCTTTTCTCTGTATTTGATGGATAATGGGGGAGTGTTGAAAAGCTTTTCAAAGTAGCACTAATACAATCCTTGACTTTGTTTTCTGAAATCACATTGTCGTCCCTGCTGACTAGCTGTCTCAAGCCTTGTATATACATGACTTGTATATACATATGTACATGCATAACCAGCTTACAATTTATTCACAGATGATGCAGGAGCCAGAATCCGTTTGCCACAACAGGTGGACATGGCTGCTCAGGTTGCCTCAGGAATGGCTTATCTTGAATCTCAGAACTACATTCACCGTGACTTGGCAGCCAGAAATGTCCTTGTCGGTGATCACAACGTTTATAAAGTAGCAGATTTTGGACTTGCACGAGTTTTCAAGGTAGGCTGTAGTACAATTTCACAATTTACTTCAGTCACACTTCTTTATCCTGCTCTATGGTTAGTCATGATGCTGTTAATTTGAACTAGGTCTTTGAGAACCCCTGATTTGTTGAATGGTCTATTTGAATGTATTATCTTAATGCTATTTTGTGTTTAAGTGATAGTTTTTTTGGGGGTGTTGTTGTTTTATATTATTTGTTTGTCACTGTATATCTTATATTATTACTTGTGAATCACTCTGCAATTTTTTTTTTAATGAAGAGTAGCCTGTGAATGAAATGATAATAACAGTAACATGGGAGTTCTTTTCTTTTTTTTAAATCTGGGGATAAGCATACTGTTCCTTTGCTCTGTGTTTTTTTTTAAAAATTGGTCCTGGAGATCAAGAAAATGAAATAAAGACATGCTGTTTGCAGCAGCACCTGCAGTCTTCATTTAAAAATTGAGAAGCATCCTAATGTGCTCCCAACTCTCAAGCAATAAAAGTCTTAGAAAATGGGTCTCAGGAAGGAAACAGACTAACCTCTGAAAACCTCAATTACAAGTAAACAATTTTCCATTTATTCTCCAATGCCTGTCAGCTTACTTTGCCTAAATTAATTGGTGCCACTCTGAACTAATATATTAATTTAAATCTTTCCCAAGTCTCAAGCAATAAAAGTCTTAGAAAAGAGGTCTCAGGAAGGAAAGAGACTAACCCCTGAAAACCTCAATTACAAGTAAACAATTCTCCATTTATTCTCCGATGCCTGTCAGCTTACTTTGCCTAAATTAATCGGTGCCACTCTGAACCAATATATTAATTTAAATCTCTCACAGTCTGTATTTTTAGTCCTGGAACTGTTTAAGTGATGATTATCAAAGTCAATGGCCCTTTGGTGCCAGCAATTAATCACAAAACAAAGGTTCCTGAATGCATTAGCTCTCGCTGTCGCCTTGTCTTCTCACGGAAGGCCAGACATGAGTCCTGTGCCTCTGGTGCCAGCGGGAGGCTTGTGCTGCTGTCATTGCCAAATTCAGGATTCTCAGTGGTAGGCCCCAATTAATGACAGGCGTTTCAATATTGCATGTATGCTTGGCAAAACAAGGCCTAGGAATGAATGAATGAATGAATGAAAAATTCTGCCTCCCTAGCTCTGGCTGGCAAGGCACATCTTTAAAATCCCATTGATTTTTGACATTGTGGTTAACAATGAATGAACAATCTTGCTATAATTAATATGAGGTTTATAACCTGTACTCTCCATGGAGCCCTAAAAAGGAGACAACAGCTTTTTTAAAAAAGGAAAATGCTATTTATTGGGTTCTATCCAACACTCTGCATGCATGGTTCCACAGTGGGGACTCCCCACCACCTTCTGGAATTGGTTTTGAAAGTGCGCAGGTAGCTGGAAGGGGCGGGGGGGGGAATCATGGTGTCCATGGAAGTCTGTTGTTCCAGCTTGAATCCTAAGATAAGTTAACTTCCCTAGAGTGTTTAAATTATTATTATTATTATTATTATTATTATTATTATTATTATTGTTGTTGTTGTTGTTGTTGTTCATGAAAAGAATGTTATCCATCCCCTTCCCCTGCTTACAGCTGGCTACTCCCCCCCATTCAATGTCTGTTTTCTTAGAACCCAAGCAACAGGTTTTTTAAAAATATAAAGGCTTTTTAAAAATATAAATTGCAGACAAGACCAAAAAAGCTTTTACTGTCACCGTGACCATCCTCACTTACCTCAAGAAGTGCCACTTATGGGCCTAGTCCCCTTAAAGCATATACACCAGTTTGCCAGATTCCCCATCCTTCCATTCATTCCTATTTTCTATCTTGAAGATCTTTTCCATCTCCCATTTGATGGGCACAGCTCCATCCATGCATATTTTTAACCCCTCCATTTTTTTGGCTGTTCCTAGAACTTAAACAACTGCATGGCTGCTAAATACGGCAATTTTTGCCTCAGTATTCCTTCTCCCACATTCTTGTGCCATTTTGATTGCTTACAACCCCATCCCATTTCCCTGTGTCCTTTTCTGAGGAACTGTACAGTTAGTCTTACTCCTTTCGCTATGTGGGGGTGGGAATATATTGTGACTTACGCAACCTTAACACCAGCAGTGGTGATTTCTTTGAGGGAAAGTGCTTCAATTGTAGTTTTTAGGCATCACAAAGAGGCATAAGGAAATTGAAGGATGTCTTTTCATTAGGAAATTGAAGGATGTGTTTGAATCCATTTCAAATTTCAAGCTCCCTTGTCTTCTATGCAAAACAAAATGTATATAGAACCAAACATCCCCCCTCCCCAAAAAGTACCTGCTACACAGGCAGCTGTTGAAACCATCTAATCCTATAAATTCACTGTTTATATTCTGAAATTGTTGTTGTTGTTGTTTGCATATGATAGCTAGGAAATGAAAATGTGTACGAAGCCAAACATGAAACAAAACTGCCTGTGAAATGGACTGCTCCTGAAGCAATCCGCTCCAATAAGTTTAGCATCAAATCTGATGTCTGGTCATTTGGAATACTCCTGTTTGAAATAACCACATACGGAAAGATGCCTTATTCAGGTGAGTGCTTTGTTCAAAAGCAGTAATTGCAAAGACCCTTGGTGGGTCTTTCTAGTCCCCCCCCCCACTGAACTGAAGGATCCAGTCTTCCATGATTTTCCTTAGCCGGAACCAATTCAGTTTTCTGTGATTTCTTAGCCAACTGGCTGTGTACCTAGGGGCTAATCTAGGAAGGAAGGAAGGAAGGAAGGGAGTTAAAGATGCTGATTCTAGGTTCACACAGAGATTAAAAAGAATTAAGTGGAGGCTCCTATAAGAGAATGCATTATAGATCGATGATGTTTGTAGAATCACCACAGAGAATTCTCTGTATGAACTATCACTTTATACATGCTTTAGTTTCATCATCATCATCATCATCATCATCATCATCATCATCATTTATTATTGAAAACCACTCTATTATTTTGAAAACCATTCTGTTTTAGGTTTGACAGGTGTTCAAGTACTCCAGAAACTGGATCAAGGGTACAGAATCCCTCAACCAGAAAACTGTCCCCAAGAGCTGTATAACATCATGCTGCAATGCTGGAATGTTGAGCCCAAAGAACGACCCACCTTTGAAACGTTGCATTGGAAACTGGAAGATTATTATGACATGGATTCTACATCCTATGCAGATGCAAGTGCTTTCATAAAATGAATGACACAATCTTGCTGCTGGTCATTTAAGTGAGGATGAGACCCCCCAACTGTGTTCCTTTAGCAAATATGTTCCTTCTACATTATAATGTCAAATTGTAGAACATTTATTCATACACACACACACACACACACACAATGGACCAAGGTGTGTACAATATATACGCCTAACATCACCACAGTCTGTTTCTTCCATTGCCAATGAGAGCAATTCAGTTGTTAGGCTGCCAAGCCATCAAGCTATGTAAAGCTGCTATCTCTCTGCAGCTTTTCCGAAGTAACTTTGGGAGCATTCTAACCTCAAAGTAGATGAATGGAGAGGTTAAAATAATGATGAATAGTAAGGAATGAGTTCTTATTAAAACCTGTGACAATACGCCAAGATCTTGATGGCATCAGCTTGTCTTAATAGATTAAGCAAACTGAAAGGCAGGATTTCTTAAAATAACTTTTTGCTGTACAATGAAGTTTCTCTTCTATTTATTATTTAAACAGGAGATGGCAAAAAGCAACAACAACACAAATCATAAACAGATAGCTTCTGCACAATAGGCAATAAAACACTGCACTTTTTATGTATAGAATTTGTTATTTGTTACTCTTCAGATTCCACTGCTTATCTGCTAAATCCCATCAATCAGTGATTATGAAGGAATGTGATTGCTGTTTTGCACAGCAGGACCTGTGCATCAAGATGTTTTCCTTTTTCTCCTCTGAACATCCCGTGGCTACAATTTTGGTAACGTTGCCTTGAGTGTCTTCATTGTACATGGAATAAATGTATGTTCGCTTGAGGGGGGGGGGAAACTAATAGTACATGGAAAATATAAACTTTTGTCAGAAATAAAGTGATTCTTGAAAGAAGGTCTGCGTTACGGTACGTTGATGAGCCAAAGATCATAAATGTATGTTTTCCTGTGAATTGCTTTTGTAATACATGTGAACCCAGCACATGCCACTGCAGTAGATCCTTTATTTGTTTTAGGGCTTCATTCATTCATTCATTTTTGCATTTCTTCCAAGCAGTGCATTGAAATACTACGGAAGAAGTCCAATTGAACCCACTGATTATTTTGCTTTTATCTTCTCCATAGAACGCTATCCCTGTGTGGGCTTGCTGTGGACACCAGCAATACAACAGATCTGTTGGTGTTTGCACCAGTGTTGAGTGGTTGGGCCCTTCATCCAAGGCTCCTATTTTATGCAGTGGCTATGGATAAAATAGGCTGTATTTGTGGGAATATGGTAGCGCTCAAGTGCAAAACTGATAGTGACATCTGTTTTGTCTTGCCGTGGATGCTATTTGTTTAGAATGGTTGCCTATAAAATGTCTCTCTGTGTGTATGTATGTATGTATGTATGTATGTATGATGTGCTTACTTTTTAAAGAAAGGAAATAATTTAAAATTGTTTATTGTTTACATCTTTGGGTGTTATTTTGGGCTGGATTGTTTCTATATGCATATGCTGCAGTTGACTCCAAGGGATCCTCACACAACAGGGTTGATGTTGCCAGCCTTCATGCAACGTTTGCAGACATCTTTGTAACACAGACGTGGTCTGCCAATGGGCCTGGGGCTTGAAGCCAGCTCCCTGTAGAGCACATCCTTGGGGATCCTGCAATCTTCTGTTGTATGTACACGACCAAACCTGCATAGACGTTGCCCAGAGAAGAATGGGAAGATGCTGGAAATGTGGACTTGGGAGAGGACATCTTTGTTTGAGACTCTGTCCTGTCATGTGATGCCCAAAATCTTCCTGATACAGTGCATCCTAGTGGGTGTCAGTTGCCTATGACTCACTTCCATAAAGCAGTGTGCTCAGCATGAAAGCCTGGTAGAACTTTACCTTGGTATTGGACTTCAGCATCATATTCTCCCATACCCTTTTGGAGAGGTGAGCCATTGCTGTAGCTGCCTTGCCAATACGCTTGTCCAGCTCAGCATTGATGGAAAGGTTGCTGGTTATGGTGGAGCCCAGGTAGACAAAATTGTGTACCACTTCAAGAGTGTGGTCACCAGTGCTGATGTGTTGGTGATGCTCTGACCCAGGATGTTGGTCTGCATCAGGCTGTTGGGGCCGGACTCCATGCAGGCTTGGGCAAAACAGTTGATGAATCTCTGTAGAGCTTCCTCAGAGTGTACTGCCAAGGCTGTATCATGTGCAAACAACATCTCTCAGATCAGAACCCACTACCCCTTTGTCTTGGCATGGAGGTGTCTATGACAAACAGTTCTTTTAATATGTTGTATCCTCCCCCCCCCCCCGTGGCACTTGTCGTTCTCTAATCTCCTGTTGAGATATCAAAAGCTGATAAATGATGCTTTATGTTAGAAAGTTTTTATCCTTACAACAGCAAAGGATCTTTTGGTTTTAAAAAAAGGAAAAGTAAGAAAAGAGCACCATTCCTTTATAACATTGAGGCTACTAATCTAAGGATGATGAGTCATCTGGCCAGTAAAGGTTAATATTTGAAGCACATGGTCAAGAAAACACAGCACTAGAAATTGCTTCCTAGGGGAGGTTTAGAAGTGGGGACTTTTGAATTTTATAGTCCAACAAAAATATAATAGTATAGGTTTTGATGAACGGAAATAACAGATGAAATAACATAAAGGTGCAATATAGCAAAAGCAATGCACTGAAAGCAATGGAATGGGATTTAGTCAGAAGTAATTTCTGTCCCACTCATTTTGGTGTGAGAATCATGACTATATTTCAAGGGACTGTGCCCAGATCATTGAAACAACTGGGGCAATGCATTAGTGAGGGTAAAGTGTGCTTAAAAATGCATATATTGGTGAAGATAACATACATAAATGCATTAATCATGGGAAAAGGCCTTGCAAAAATGTATGTATATTGGGGAAAATTTACATACAAAAATGTGTATATTTGAAGAAATGCTCATGAGGACTATAAAAAATCACTGTTCGTGTTCGTTTTGTGTGAGAACAGCATTTAAGACTGGAAAAAGGAGAATCTGAGAGACACAGAAAATGATAGTTTTGCCTATACCCAGTTACTGAGCAGTATCCATGGGGGTGGCTGAAGTCAAATATGTGGATATATTTTAACAGACCCTGCAAAGTGTAGCTCAAAATCCTGAACAATGGCAGGGATCACTTATTTTGCCTTTCCCATGGCATATTCCTTAAACAAACGTAAACATAGCCTGAAGTGTTATTTAAGTCCTATTAACAATTCTTAAACTCCCCAGCAGGTGGAGGTACAGATTGCTGCCTCAGTTCATCTTCAAAGATTACTGAACAATCCAAGCAGGCCTGGTTCATTTAGGCACCATACTGATATGTTTGCTCACTTATAACCTCAAATCTGGCAACTGCAGAAGGTGTAACTACTACTTCATGAACAGCATGAAGACTTTATGTTTGCACCACCAAAATTAACCGTTAAGGAAAGTGAGTACCTACCAAACACATTCTAAAACCATCCAGGAAATCGAGGAATTTCCCCACACAAAAACCAACATAACAGATCCAGAAAGAGAAGCAGCCTTGCATGCACACAGACAGCAGAGGTGACTGCAAGGGAGCACAAGAAGGGCTTACTAGAAGATTCAAGGCTGTTACTCCCATTTCATATGTTCCTTGTGCTTATGAGTATCCCAAACTCTCTGTCTTGGCTCCCATCCAGACCACGCCGAAAGAGTTTCTTACTTGAAAGTTGCTATTGCTCATAGCTGCTGTGCTGAGACCAGATGACAGGAGGAGTGATGCTAACCAGGCTAAAAGCAGTAGCCCAAGTTTAAGGAGTTCAAGATCAGGGCAAGGAGAAAAGAACTGCAAGGAAACAATGGAGTTGTCCCAACAAGTTGGCACAATAACCCATCAAGCTTTTAAAGACAGGGCAAGGCTAGCTTACTTGCAAGAGAGCCAGCATGGTGTAGTGGTTAAGAGTGGTTGACTCATAATCTGGTGAACTGGGTTCGCTTCCCCGCTCCTCCACATGCAGCTGCTGGGTGACCTTGGGCCAGTCACACTTCTCTGAAGTCTCTCAGCCCCACTCACCTCACAGAGTGTTTGTTGTGGGGGAGGAAGGGAAAGGAGAATGTTAGCCGCTTTGAGACTCCTTAGGGTAGTGATAAAGCGGGATATCAAATCCAAACTCCTCCTCCTCCTCGTGCCTTATGAGACTGTTGAGTGTGCAGGTTCTTGTGGCACTTCAAGAGTGTGGTCACCAGTGCTGATGTGTTGAAGACGCCTCTGCTGCCAGTGATAGGCACGGCACTGTGTCCCATTTTTACTCTAGTTCCTCCACCCCTAGCAGTTGGCTGATACCCTTCCCATATCTCATTACTCTGCTCCTTTCACTGGAAGACAAGAGGGGAGATGAGAGTCCGGCTTCACCAGCTGGGGCAGCTATATCCTGGGAAGGGGAATTACCCACTGTTCCCTGATTTCAGCCACTCCCAATCTGTGGGATAACCAACCTCATATCACCAACATGCTTAAGTCTAATTAACACATGAAGAAGTCATGGAATTGTAGAGTTGGAAGGGACCTCAAGGGTCATCTAGTCCAATCCTTTCAATGCAGGAATCTCAACTAAAGCATTCATGACAGATGGCCATCCAACCTCTGCTTAAAAATCTCCAAGGAAGGAGAGTCCACCACATTCTGAGAGAGTCCATTCCATTGTTGAACAGCTCTCACTGCCAGATTTCTTCCTGATGTTTCGTCGGAATCTCTTTTCTTGTAACTTGCAGCCATTGGTTTGGAGCCTTTCCTCCAGAGCAAGAGAAAACAAGCTTGCTCCATCTTCCCCAAGACAGTTGTTTAGATATTTGAAGCCAAGTTTAACTGCCTGTGCAACTTTTTCTGAATGCTGTATGGAAAAGCACATGAATCTGACCTTTGGAGAGTTTGTAAGTAAACCATTCTAACTTACCAGACATATGGTCTTTATCTATACTAAGGGAAGCGGAAAGTTTTGAAACCCACAAGGGCACATTTGAAACATCTAACAACCTATATTTCCACACTTTACTTTGCTGCATGTTTTGTGATTTAAAATTTCTGCTAGGGTTATTTCACCGAAGCTCGGAAATTGGAACTCTGCATACAGGGAATTCTCTTTTCTATATGCCCTTTCCCCCTTGAACCAACACTACCATCTTCTACCCCCCACCCCTTGTTTGTCTCAGCCAGCCACTCAAATCCTAAGCCTGGTGACACTTCATGACACTCTAAGGAAACCTACAGAATGCTTGATTTGCAGTCCTAACTTTGTTGTATCTCTCACACCTGTGTATTAATTGTAACATTAATATCAGAGAAAAGGAATCTATTTTATTTTATCATTTGTGACCCACTTTGGGGGAGATACAGTGCTTTTCCCCCAGGGGTACTTAAGGGTACACAGTACTGGCAACCCCCCCCCCCAATTAAAAAAAGTGTGGCATTTACTGTAACAATTTCCTGGTGATCACCAGCACCAATTTTCCTTAAAAAAGAAAAAAAAGGCACTGGGGGGAGATATCATTTAGGACAAAAGCTGGCATGGGAAAGCATTATAATATATTATAGCTTGCATTGGATGTTCATTCGTACCTGCTTCCTTGTACTCCTGATTCCCAGGGCTGTCTGAGGCAAAGGACAAGACACCAGTTCCATATATAGAAGCCAATTAGACCACAGGGCAGTATTCTTTATGATACCTGAGGCCAGCAGGCTCGCTTAGGAGGTGCAGGGCAGCCATCTGGCACAGACTCCTCTATCACCCAACATCTCACCACCACTTCCTGCCCACCAGCATCTGCCACCTGAGGCAGCTGCCTTACTCTGTCTAATGGTAGGGCCAGACCTGCTGAGTCACACTGTAATTGTTGGATTGATGTAGAAGGGAAAGCATATTCTCATTCAAGTCGCTGTGCTAATTAGGGCTGCTGAATTTTATATCAGTTTTCTTACAAATGGGAAATGAGAACCATATTCTTTAGTAATCTATTGCATCATGGAATGTACCCAAAGGGCACAGCTGAAATTAAAAAAAAAAAAAATATTTGGAAGGTATACATTGCTTATTTCCTGAATCCCTTTTTGGTTTCATAAGAGGTGTCAGGCTTTTTTTACCATTAAATTTTTAATGTACTTTTCAGCACTGTAATTTAAATACAGTACAAGCTTCAAATATTGATTTTGAGTTAACTTATGTCTGATATTTAAATCATAATGATAGTATTTCCTAAAGCGAAGCACTGCTGACCTCCATACTTTATTGTCTTTTATATTTTATGAGTAAAATTAAACTGCTGTCCCAGAATGAAGGTGCATCATTATATGCCCTGATTATCAATGCATTTCAACCAACATGAAAAAGTACCGGAATTTTTTCTTCAACTCTCTAGTGAATTTTTTCTTTAATAAATTAAGAAAAGTTATCCACTTCCCATTCTAAAATATTTTGGTTCATGTATGGTGAAATGCTATGGAATTTAGCTTAGATTTAAGTTCCACTATGTTGAGTATGGTTTATTCTCAGGTATGTATGTTTAGGATTACAGCTTTAGGAAAGAGATTTCATCTGGAATAGTCAGCTAGGACTGGGCAAAAGTCCCCACTCTCCGTCTCCACTGGGTCTTGTTCATTATGAAATGGGGAGGGTTGAATATTGGAGATCTTCGGAGTGGGAAGGGGTGAAAGTCTGAGGATTTGGGGGTTGAGCAACTTACTGAAACGCGTTAGAAGGCAGTCAAGTCATGTTACCGGTATTTTCTTTTCTACCTTGCTTTAAAAAGCCAATGTATGGACTATTCCAAGCTTGGTAAAGTATACTTGGTAGTCCCACTGCCCCCAAGACGCACTTTGAAAACAAAAACCCAAAATGTTTCTGGGCCACTGCTTGGAGTAGAACATGCATGTGCTCCCTGATGTTGTTGGACTACAAATCCTCATGTCCCTGATATTATCCATGCTGGCTGGCACTGATGGAGCCCCCCCCCCTCAAATGTTCTGCCCCATACATTCACCCACTCCCAATCTCTGGGAGGGATTCTTTCCGACATAATGATCTCAAACTTGTCAGTAAAGGTTACCAATTGCTTCCCATGCTTTACAAGTAAAGAACGCTGATATTCGGAGATTGCATGCTCATACAACATGGCGGAGCACAGAAGCAATGTCTGAGCACAAAAGTGAAAGGGACACGTTGATTTATTTCCAAAATGCATATCATGCCCACCCTTCCAAAGGAGCTCAGGGCAGGAAATGCTTTGTTAGGTTTGCTATTCAGAAAAAGAAGACTAAGAAACAGTTGGGCTGTTAGCTGAAACATCTCCTGCATCACAGGGTGTTGGACTAGATGAGCCTCATGTTCCCTTCCAATTCTATGATCTGTGGTCTCCTTTTACATCCTAGGGCAACTTGGTGACATTTCTGAAAGGAGCTGGCTAATTTTCAGGTTCATAAATTACAAAGGTTGTTTTCTCACTGTTGCCTAGCCCAGCAATCCTGGGAATCCATTTTGACTGGACAGCTTGTCACACCAAGAATAAAATACCATCCCTACATTTAGTTCAGCATATTAATCAAAGGAAAACAAAACTGGAATAGTAGAAGTAATTCTGACAACTCCCAACTCCTGCCATATACCTGGGGTCTCAGAGTCTGCTCTGCTTTTTGAAAATGAGTAGCAGGCGCAATCTCTGTGGCAGCTCAGAAGCTTCAACACAGCACAGTGCTGTTCATGCACACAAATTTTTGTTTTTTCCCAGAGTCCAGGTGTTATTGTCATCAAAACGATGTTCCATATTATTTCCCCATTTAATCCAGATCTATTGTTTCTGCAGACAATCCGTCTTTTGATGTGGAGACTGCAAAAAACATGCTTGCAACACCAAGTCCATAATAAACTGACCTCAGGTTGTTTCTTCCCTCAAAGTGTTATAGATTATACCTTCTGATTTTGAAAACTTTCTA